CACAGACTCTCTCTTTAACTCTCTCTCTGAACTATAACTCTATGCTGCATTTCAATTTACGTTGTCTGAGATAATAATGCCTTCAACCCGGGTAATTATAAATATACTCGCAATTCTTCCAAGAAATGTATATTCAAGCATTTATTGAAAAAAAAAAAAAAAAAATGCAATGATATGCATTATATATAAACACTAAAAAAGTTATAAATATAAAGTATTTGAATAGTAAAAAAAGATACAAGAAACCAAGAATATGAAAAAAACATCCAAATGTTATTAATTAAATGAAATGAAAAAAAATATCAAAACTAATTTAAACTTGCATGGAGTTGAAGAGCCTTGAAGCATATGAGAGTATCGAGCCCGATAAGAAAAAAGCATAAGAAAGGACTCAAAATGTACTAACATTAAAAAAAAAAATAAATAAACCTTCCGTTTTACTCGCCATCATTATTTAATGCTTCTTCTTTTTAGAGGAAATGCAAATACGATGATGCACCGTGAAACGTGATAATGATGTTTACTACTAGTGGTAATGCCCTATTGCGGTGTGTATTTATTTTTCTTCTTTTTTTTTTTTTTTATCTCGTGTGCACATCTTTCTTTAATTTGGTTTTGAAACTTAACAATAGATTTTCCCAAGTGTTGGTAATTTTTTCTCTCTCCTCATTTCTTTTTTTTTTTATTTTTTCCTTAATATTTTGTTGTTTGGTTTTTTCTTTTTTTGTTTTTACTTTCCATAAAATCTTCAAAGGCAAACAACAACAATAAAAAAGTACACAATATTTTATGCTATTTCTTGTAGAGTTTTTGCTCGTCTTGTTTAACATTTACACACACATACATATCTCTACGCGATGAGAAAGACTTGATAGTGGTTTTTTGTTGTTACAAATGCATTGCAAGCTTCCGTAAGTGAGTATAGAGATTGTTTTCTTTTTTGCGTTTTTCTTATCACAGATTAACTGAAAAATTCGTAGAATTATTTTATTTCATACCATACTCTCACCGTAAATACATTTCATACAGATTTAAAGTCTATTTTGGAAATCTTCATAGCCTAGGATTGGTATAAATTAAGTCAAGGGTCAGCTACCTATGATATATAAAAAATAAATTATAAAACATTAACATCAGGAGAGCCATTGATATCGAAGAGAACGATTGTAATTATTTATCTTAATAAAACATATTTTATTATTTAATAGGAAACTTTTCTAATACGAAAACATCTCTGATCTAAACGTCTCTTTAGTACTCATATTTTGGTTGATCTTTTGAAAAATTGTTGCCAACCCCTGAATTAAGCTTTAAATTTCAAACTTTGAAAACTATGGAAATGGTAATGATCAATCAAATATGCAATGATCAAAAGTTTCCTGTTCACGGTTCTATATTGTGACCTGCCAGAGTAGCTGAATAGATAAGAAATACGACTACGAAATCAGTGTTCGCCCAAGTGAGTGCTCAATGAGGCACGAAAGGCACACCTGCTAGACTAGCTATTAAAATAACCGAAGTGATCATGATCAGTGACCGAGCATCATGAATCACGATCACCTCGCCCTTTCGCATTTGCGCAAGCTCCACTAACAGCAGTTTTGCGATTGTATACAAACGACAAGACGTTTAGTTTACGCTGTCGTGAATTTTCCAATGGTTAAATTCTTTTCTAAATAAATTTACAGTCAATCCCTTTTCTGTTTTAAAAATTACTTAGTTTGACAATTGATTGTGAGGTATTCAATCCTTTGACTATACGTCTTGTTGACAAAGTAGCTTTTACAAAGATTATCGTCAAAGTTAGAAGGACGGACGGAAGGTTGAAATTTCACAAATCAATTTCTAACTTCCCGATCAGTTATCCGCCCTTCTCACGTCGCGATAGCACTATAGCCTTGGTTAAATTCCCAAAGCGCTACAAGTCGAATATGTACTTTTGTACTCTTCATTTCAGAGCTAAAAAAAAAAAAACAGTTGAATGTAACATGTGCACCGCATAAAACAGTTGACAGAAGACTAACTGAATCCTCGTCTATTTATAGTGAAAACGGAAACTCGTTTGTTTCGGAACTTGTACTGGATAAGTAGGAGCGATAGATTCTACCTCCCTGCACCGGAAGTTAATTATGACTCGACTTAATGTAAAATTTTTTGCTAAATGCAGCACTACGGTTCATTGATCGAGCCGGTATGCTTTGTATCAGAGGTTGGCAGCCTACGGCCCGCGCGTCACCAACTAACCCATTTGATAAATTCAACTGACCCGCTTCAGTTCCGAAGATAAAGTATAATATATAAAAATCGTCACAAATTCAATAACAGGGCAGCCATTGATATCACCGGAGACGTTCATAAATAACATTCATTCAATTATGTTTTTGTAATAAAATATATCTTATTATTTACTAAAAGACTGTTTTAATATATAAATATCTCTAAACCAAATGTTTCTTTAATAGGCGACCAAAAAAAAATGTTGCTACCTACGCCCTATATCATCCATTTTAAGCTTAAGTTCAAATATTTTGTTCAAAACTTGCGCAAATAATTTAGATGAGAAGATTTTATTCCAAATTATTTTCCTCATAACTTAGGCGCGTTTAAAACGATTTATTCGCTTACACCTGAAATTATCCAGATCTTAGCAAAGTTTCACTTCTGTCCATCCATTGCCTTATGGTGTAGAAAATAAATCTATTTCGTTTCAAGCAATTGCAATATAATTACTCTTAAACGATTCCCCAGTTATCATCTATTATGTAGCTAATACTTGTCCCGCCCAGTAGCAATCGATGATTTATCACTCTATGAACTTTTCAATTAGTTCGGCATATGTTCGCATGTGCATGTTTATGCATTAAGTTTTTATGTCATCTATACTCTACGCTTTTCTGTTTTTTTTTTTATTGTTTTGTGTACGACTGGCGCAAAGATAACAAGCATAAAAGTCATAAGGACGTATTGTAATAATAGTAAGCAAATACAGGCAAACTTGTACGAGACAAATAATAATAAAAAGTAAAAAAAGATGTCAATAGAACAGACGAATATAATATATATACATATGTATGTACATACATATACGTATACATATATATATACATGTGTGTGTTTGTGTGTGTGTGTGCCTGGGTGTGTGTGTTTGCACAGAGGTATATGCGTACAAGTACGTGATACATATATATATATATATAATATATACAGATGTTTGTCGATATGTCCATGCATACATATACATGATGGTGGGAAACTTTTCTTTAACATAAAAATTTTATCGAAAAAACAAGGAAAGACAATAAATACTACCAACCGCACACATATCCGCTTAATTCCAATACGAAAAGCAAGAAGAATCATCTATTCGCCTTATTACTGTCTATCTATCAGCGATTGCGAATCGCTGATCTGTGAGAACGAACTCTAAAACCCGCCAAAAAAAACAAAAAAATTAATTATCTAAATCGTATACTAATGAGAAGAGAGATAATATTATCATGGCAGGACGAGAAAGTGTTATAACGACCTTTAAAATAACTTATAATACACACCTAACTCTTTTTTTGCACGGTAAATATATTCCTTAGAAGACGTCGCAAAAAAAACGCGCAACGAAAGTATCATGCTGGGAGAAGCTATTCGTGTAAAAAAGTGTATTATTGTCCGCCTTGAAAGTATCATGCTGGGAGAAGCTATTCGTCTAAAAAAGTGTATTATTGTCCGCCTTGTTTCAAAATCGTTTAAAAAAAACCGTATAAAGAAAAAGTTGAGTGTAATTGATTAGTTGTTATGATCTCCTGGCCATATATGTGAAAATAATGAAGATAATTTAAGGATGGTTCCGAATGGAAACCCTATTGATTTGTTTTCCGACATAAGAACATTCAGACTATAGTTATTATTCCACGAAGAAGAGCAACGACCCTATTTTATTAGCATCAAACATTACTTGAAGCACGAGTTAAGCTACCGCGTAGCCCAGTATGTACGAAGCGCATTTCTGAAAAGTGGCCATATCTGGGCTCACTTTTCAGTACGGTTTACAATTTGATGCTGATCAAGAGCGCGTATGCTTTGCTACAATAATCAACAAAATTATTCAAATTCATATTATCTTTGTCGTCCAAAAGATTGGCGATCACTGTCATATAAAGTACAATTTGTATGTACATGTTGAAATGTGTATACATATAGAGGAGTGGGAGTGCATTAAAATATGCCTGCATAAAAACCAAAGGAGGAGAAGGAGAGAGAACGGGACAGACTTAGAGACAGATTTGCAAAGTTGAAGTACAAGCCCGACGAAGAAGAAATAGTTTAGAGGAAGCAAAAAATGCCTACAAAATGCCTTTATTCAGGCGTAACACACACACACACACGCATGCACATATGGAATAGTAAAAATATATATTATAAAATTTTTATTTATGAATAAAAAAAAAAAGGGAAGAATACGCGAGAAAGTAAAAAACAGAGAGCAAACAGAGTTTAGGTGAAAAGAAATGAGAGAGTTGGTAAAGAAAAAAAAAACTTCTTATTATGTATACTTTTACTAAGCAATAGATATATCTCCCAGACTTACCCAAAATAATATATTAATGAGGATCATCAAAAATTTGACGCACGAACAACATCCATTAAGACCCATTTTGTGTTTTTGTATTTGTTTTTATTTAATTACTCTTGTCGCTTGTAATTTTCCAGGATTCTTACAAATATTAGCCGAAAAAAAAAGAAAAAAATCACTACATTCGCATACGCTTATATAGGTATGTGTATCTGTACTTCAGATTTTCCGTGTATGTGCAGCTTTGCAAACGCGCAGACACACGCACACATTTGCATTTACAAACAAATGCTGTAAATTTTGCTTTTACACAAAAAAAACGAAAAAAAAATGGAGCTTCCTTTGACCTCTTTTTCTATTCTTTTACTTAACTTTTTTATTTATTTACTTGTATATTAATAATGATGAGATTTTCTTTTATTAAACAGTTGATATTTTTTTTTTTATATTTTACGCGAAACACTAAACTTCTTTTTTTAGTAAAAAAACAAGGCAAAGCACGTATTATCATCCTTTTTTTCACAGATTGCTGGTTTTTGTTTTTTTAAGCCGACTAACTCGCAGTTAATGATAAAATTTTCTAATCTTTAATTTATTTGTGCTGCTAAATGTTTTAATTATATTATTTCGCACACGCGATAAAAAAAATGCACAAAAGTATCTATCAGATACGCACAAGCACTCGCGGCAAGAAATTCACATCAAATAACTGAGAGTGAATTTACTAAAAAATGCTTTTATACCTAAAAAGTCGCAAAGAATATAAATAAGAGAAAAATAAGAGAAGTTTTTAAAATTTCCTACTACTCAGATTGCACAGAGTAGCAAATAAAGTACCAAAATAAAGGTAGTAAAATGACAAAACATCTGGTCTTCAACATACCTGTCGTACCTGCCATACCTGCATTTATTTACTTCAAATTTGAAAGGAAAAGGATTTCATTTTATTCCATTAATTTCATAAGTAGAAATATGTAATAATTCATTAACTATAACATATGGAGCATCTGATACTTAAACATATGATTAAAGAAGTAAAAATGTTTTCTTTCATTATTTTTAGCATTTTCGTGAAAAATTATTTTTAGTACTTACTCCATTTATTGGGCTGTGATATTACGTAGTGGTAGGCACAAGAGAGTGCATAATAAGAAATTGCAAACATAATAAAGATGAATCTGTTGGAAAAAGATCGCTTTTCAAATTTATATATTGAGGACCCTACATTCTAGTTACCTTATTTCACTGCAAATGAAAATAATATGCAAATTGTTACTTTGTAACGGCGCGTCTGCATAAGGAGCCAAACAGCTGAATTGGGCATGCATAGGCACTAAATTTAATTTATTTATTGTATTAATAATTTTTCTTTATTAATTTATTATAGAAGAGAAGGAGATTGATATATGTTCTTATATATAAATATAATTCGAATTTTATCAGGACGAGAGGGATTGGTTGGATTAGTTTAGTAGTTAAAAATGTTCAAAATTTGAAATCTGGAATATCTGGAAAATATTAAATTATGGAAGATGAAATTGTACTTTTTTTATGTGTTTTATTAAAATATTGGTTGAAAGTTTAGCTATATTGGCAGCAATAACTAAAGAAACTCAAATTCCTTTTTTTTCTTGACTTCCGGGTGCTATAGCAGCTTTTGCTTTAGTTACAGCAGGAGTTTATTTATGAATTCGATTTAATTTCATTTTATTTAATAGATTTACTTTCAAGGTTAGGAACTATTTATAAATTCAATTAAAAAAAGAATGTCAGTTTATTTTTTCTCAAGTTTATT